AAATGCAGAAATCATCCGGTCAACACATTGTTTTTGTGTTAAACCACTTCGAAAGTCATAATAAATCATCGCTCTTGAATTTTCTCGAGTCAATTCCATTTTCTCAACGACTAAACAAGTTTGACAAAACCTTGTGACAAGACCGAGAATCTTTTTTTTTTTAAATAAATAAATGGTATTCGATTTTTAAAACCAAGGAGTTTTCAATTAAAAAGATTTTAATATGACAGGAACAGTGGAAATATTCCATTCCCGATACTTTTAGCGCAGCCTAGTATGTTATTTTTCTATAAAACACTACCCTCACACTAAGATTTTCTCATGTATTAATGAAGCAGTTTAAATACAACGTAAGCAAACATCACCCAGACCCGGAACAATTATTTTTAGACCATACAAATACTTGTTCGTGCGGGATCCAAGCCCTCTGCACTCAGCGTTACAACACGAGTCAAATCACTGACAGAGAATACATGCCATTGCGCCAGGGAGCCGTCAGTTTCGAAATTAATTCTTGTTATAAGAATAAAATTATTTAATAAAATATAAACGTTTATATATGGTGGAGCCATGCTGCAGTTATATTAGTAGCATAGTTGTAGCACGAATGGGTCGGCTCGACCGGGGAAGGACCACGCTCTCACAGAATACCAGCGTCAAATAGTACGAGTAGCTTAATGCTGCTGTGTTTCTTACGGTGAGTGTAGAGAACCGGAGACCACTTTTACTGGAAACGAGGTATTCCAACTTAGTCCTCACGGGTGACAACGCATCTACATTTTGATTCGTAATCGAGAATAGATGTAGATGTCTATGGGCCACAGCAACCATTTCTCCTCAGGTAGACTGTGTGCTCGTTTGTCACTCTATCCTATAAAAAAAACTATCTTTGGAAGTAAAGCATTAAAAACCAGATGGTTTTGATTATCTTTAAGACGCTCCATGAGTTGATGTCATTCACATGTCCTGTAACTGTAAATGTAACTGTCCACTGTGAATAGAATAATAAATAATAATAAAAAAAAAACATTTATTCATTACCACCAATATAGTTACAGTGAGCAGTATACACAGAAATAACCAAAATTACATAGTGTAGTAATGAATGGGCTCTAGCTCAGCATAAATGTTGCAGTTGCCTGCAACGCTGTTATTCTGCCAGCGCCCTACAAATGAAGAGTACAGTACGCGCGCATCCCTGCTTATATTACATATAATCACAACTGTTCATATTAGAGTAAATCTCGTGGTTTCCCAACTATTAGCGAGTAATGACGTATTTGCTTGTTTTGGAAATCTAACTATACATCAAAATAATTTCAATATACTGATCACTTTTAAATCAAATAAAGTGGCATTTGTTGCATAAGGAGGAGTATGCAAGTGAATTTAGAGAGCTAGTTGTAAACAAGATGATAGAGATGGCTGATATGGAAAGAATGAGTGTGAATGAGTGCTGGAAGGAAATGGCGAAGTGTGGCAAGGAAGGTGTTAGGAGAAACAAAAGGGAAGCGTATGATAGATAAGGATGGGTGGTGGTGGAGTGAAAGTATTAGAGAAGTTTTGAGAGAAAAGAAAAATGCCTTTAAAGAATGGCAGAGCGTAGAAGACCAGAATGATTCCATAAAAGAAAGTAAGAGAGGGGCGTATAAAGAATGTAAGAAGAGAGCAAAGAAGGAAGTTGCTATTTGTAGGGCAGAGGCGCAAGATAAATTATATCGGTCCCTTGAAAGCCCCGAAGGTCAAAAACGACTTTTTCAAATTGCAAAAGCGAGAGAAAGGAATGGAAGAGATGTTTCACATGTAAAATGTATAAAAGATGATTCTGGAAGGATTTTGACTGACGATGAAAGTATAAAGAAGCGATGGAAGGAGTATTTTGAGAAATTGATGAATGAGGAGAATGAATGGAATGGTATGCTTGAAAACCCACCAGTGAATATGGGCTTAGTGAGAGAAATTAGTGTGGAAGAAGTAAAAATGGCTGTTAGGAATATGAAGAATGGGAAGGCGGTCGGCCCAGATGGAATACCAGTAGAAGTGTGGAAGTTGCTGAGTGCGGATGGATGGAAGTGGTTGAGTTTATTTTTCGGTAAATTGTTGCAGGAAGAACAAATACCTGAGGAATGGTGCAGTAGTATACTGGTCCCCATTTTTAAAAACAAAGGAGACGTTCAAAACTGCGGCAGTTACCGGGGAATAAAACTCATGTCACATACGATGAAAGTCTGGGAAAGAATAATAGAGAAAAGAATGAGAGAAGAGTGTGAGATAACACAAAACCAGTTCGGATTCATGCCCGGTCGAGGTACGACAGATGCCATTTTCGCATTACGCCAATTGTGCGAAAAGTACAAGCGCGTGCATAAAAATCTGCACATGGTTTTTGTCGACCTTGAAAAAGGCGTACGATCGGGTTCCCCGTGAGGTTTTGTGGTGGGCGTTAAAGATAAAAGGTATGCCTGGGAAGTATGTGAGGTTAGTCCGTGCTATGTACAGAGCATCCCGTACATGTGTACGATCTGCCGCGGGAACTACGGGCAGTATCGATGTGGCGGTAGGGCTGCACCAAGGGTCGGCATTGAGCCCTTACCTCTTCCTACTGATTATGGACGCTTTGACGTCGGACCTGCAGGATGAGGCACCCTGGTGCATGCTCTTTGCCGATGACATCGTGCTTGTCGGGGAAGAAGGCATCGAGGTACAGAGCAGACTGACGGGGTGGCAACAGAGGCTGGAAAGTGTTGGCTTGAAGATCAGCAGATCCAAAACCGAATATCTGTGCTGTGATTTCGGCGGTCTTTCCAGTCCTGTACCCATGTCGTTGGATGGCGCTATACTGCCTACCTGCTCAGAATTCAAGTACCTCGGTTCCCTCATTCAAGGCGACGGCGGAATAGATAGAGCTGTGCAGCATAGGATTAACGCAGGGTGGATGAAATGGCGACAGGTTACAGCCACAACGTGCGATCCCCGAATGCCAATAAGGCTGAAGGGGAAAATTTACAAATCGATCATCCGACCTGTCGTCATGTATGGAAGTGAATGCTGGGCCGTCAAGAAGAAGGATGAAAATAGACTGCATGCGAATGAAATGAGAATGTTACGATGGATGTGTGGTGTGACAAGGATGGATAAGATAAGGAATGAGTATATAAGAGGAAGCCTGAAAGTAGCGCCAGTGGTAGAAAAGGTGAGAGGAAGCAGATTGGCATGGTTTGGGCATGTGATGCGGAGGGATGAAAGTCATGTCACAAAACGAGTGTTGAATATGAATGTGGAGGGACACACGGGCAGAGGAAGGCCGAATAAAAGATGGATCGATTGTGTGAAGAGTGATATGAGAATGAAAGGAGTAAGTATGGAAATGACGGCTGATAGAGAGGAATGGAACGAGAAGATTTACTGCGCCGACCCCAGATAATGGGAAATGGTCTAGAGAATGATGATGACTGATCACTTTTAAAAAAACTATTTAACCGTGTGATGGCGGCGTAAAAACATCCACTGCTCTATTTTGGTCGTAAGCGACGACACAGGGAAACCAACCAGGAGTTGGCAGCAGTGAATTCCCACTAACTTTCCGGTTGGCTGGTAGAAAATGCCATATGGCATTAAGTCCAGCGTTTGTACCTTTAGTACATACATTTAGTACGTACATAAAGTGTAAATAAATAAATAAATAAAATTCCGAATAACAACAAGAAACAAGCGGTTGCCTCCCGCCTGGCAAACTTGGCAGCTATGGCAAATATCCACCTTTTAACGTAACGTGAGAGGAAGCTTACGTTCAGCGATAGATTCATAAGCTGTGATAGATGGATTTTTTATGATTAGAATCCAAACAGTTTAGGCAAATGATGGAAACTGCAATTTACGTAGTGAAAAATGGGTGTACCACATTTTGGGTTCGTTTCTCTTTCAATAAATAACTACTAAGATTAATAATTACAGTATTGGAACGGTTCTATTTGAACAAAGTTGAAAACTGAGATCCCTAATGCATGAAATTAGGCTGCTGTAGATAAGTGCCGTGCAGTTCCTTTGTAAGAATATCCACAATATAAATATCATCCCGTGGGTGTCGTAAGAGGCGACAGAGGGAAATAAATCAGGAGATGGGCGGCAGTCTTCCTGATAACGACTGAAAATAAAACGTGGGTAAGACCTTTGTTCGGCATTGGACTTTAATAGGCTATAACAGTGATGGTAACAATTGTACAATCATATTCTTGCAAATAAAAAATATTCTTATCATAAATTAAATTTAAAAAAGTGAAAACTGATTTATTACTGTACTATATACTGAAATTTTCAGAAGTGGTAGATCCACACTGCGGCCATATGAATACTTCTTCCATCTTAGTCCTCACGGGTGACAACGCATCGGCATTTTGATTCGTAATCGAGGATAGATGTAGATGTCTGTGGGCCACAGCAACCACTTACCATCAGGTGGACTGTGAACTAATAATATATAATCATCAATACTAACTTTTTAAAGAATTATTCGCCAATATGTCGTGCAGATGTCTTTGCAAAGAAGTGTTTGATGATTTTCTTATGGATCCCATCATCTAACCTTGACTAGATTCATATGATTTCATTATGGTTTTTAATGTAAAAATAACACCTTACTTCTATATACAGATGAAAGTGTATACGATACTTTTTTAGAAAAAAAAAACTAAAAAAAATTCTGTCTGTTTGTTCCGGCTAATCTGCGAAATGGCTTAATCGATTTCGACTTTAACTATCAGGTATCTGATTATATATGGATTAACTAAGGCTATTTTTAGTTTAGTAAAATAAATAGGATTCCGCGGAAATTATTGAATTATAAAAATGACAAACTTAAATCATTAAATAAAAGTCTATAGAGACGCTGGAAACTGGGGGAGAAGAAAAGTTTTGACAGGCTGTGAATAAATAACTTAATGAATAAATAACCGACAGATTTTAGGTTACTTATATGCTATTTAATAACTTTTACATTTAAGCTACGTTGCTGCTGGAGGTCAACGCTCTTCATTTACAATCTAACAGGTACTAATTCACCGTCATATAATTTTGTTAAGTAACAGAATTTGTCTCTATCTTCTTCATCAGCTCTGTAACAATCTACTATATACTATACAATTTACTATCTTGCCTCGTTGGTCTAGCGGTTGTAGTAGTGCGACTGCTGATCATGAGGTCCTGGGGCAATCCCGGGTCGGGCCAAAAAAATCAATTATTGACTTTTTCTGTCAAGGAAATTAATAGTAGCCGCCCGGAGGCAAGAAGTTGGCGGTGTCTCACCCCCGTGCCTCGGAAAGCAGGTAAAGCCGTTGGTCCTGCGCCTGATCTTTCTCCGGTCGTGTCGGTTTACCGTTCCATCGTATTATGAGAGTTAGGGAATATAGAGTGCACCTGTGCTTGCGCATACACTTGGGCACTATAATCCTGTCCTGCGCCGTTGGCTAGCCTCCGTTGAGGCAGGCCGCCGTGGCCGAAATTCGGTCTGAAGGACATTATAACAATCTACAGCTGAGCATTCGCATCTCCCGCGGCAAGAAGCTTACCGTCTAGTGGTGGTGTTAGAATATTCACTACTCCATATCTTTCCGTGGGTGTCGTAAGAGGCGACAGAGGGAAACAAATCGGGAGATGGGCAACAGAGTCTTCCTGATAACAACAAAACCTGCGGTTGCCAACCCGCTTGCCAAGCGTGGCAACCATAGCACATAGACTGACCCATAGGCTGACCCATAGGCTGGGGGGTCAATCTATGGGGAAGGCTGTAACCGTAGACAGAGAAACCTATAGACAAATGATTAGCGTGGCCTCGAGTGAGAAAGGACGATAACGTAGTTTTAGGTTATACAATAATCTTTATGACTTTTAAATATATTTAGATAAAAAATTTAATTGTTCTAGGAACTGAACTGAACAAGATTCACCGATCCTAAGCTCATAAAACACTTTTTTCTCACTTAAACCAACTTGTAAACTCCTTAGATCGCTACGAAATGACAAAGTTGTTTAGCAAAGTGTAGTTTGCTAAACAAATAAAAACCGGCACGGAGAAAGGGACAAACAATCACACCGCTCTGTCTCATTTCTATGCAAGACGTAATAAATCTTTTTTTTTTCGTGTGCGAATGCGAAAGAAGGCATCAATTTGTCTGTAGGTTTCTCTGTCTACAGCTGTAACAGAACTACAAGAAGAGTTTGGCATAATCGTCACACTTAGCTAAGAGCCGTGGTAGCTCAGATGGTTAACGCTCGCTGTAAATATAATAGAACGCGAGTAACCCGTGTTCGATCCCCGCCGGCACCAACGAAATTTTTCATTGTAATTTTAAGTGCTGGTTTACCACGTGCTCCGCGGTGAAGGAAAACATCGTGAGGAAACCTGCATGCCTGAGGAATAAAAAAAAATTTCGAAGACATATGAAGTTCGCCAACACGCATTGGGGCAGCGCGGCGGACACTTCCTTGCCCTTAAACCCTCTCATAAATGATGGGAAGCCTGTATCCGGCTGTGGGACGTAAGTATATAGACTGTAACTTTACTTTACTTTTTCACACTTGGCTGGCAAATTACCACATGTATTTTTTATAGGTGGGTGGCACACTAGTATACTAAGTGCTAGGACTGATCGTTGTCCGTCCATTCCGTCTAGGTGGGTACTCTCCACTTAACTAGGCACATACGAGTATATCTGTCACCAAAAAGCAGTGAGTGCACTGATGTATTCCAGATTAACGGGCATATGAAGACTGTCTTATTATAGGCTTTATGTATTCAGTCTTGGTCATCGGAGCTGGCAGTGCATCTGTGGGTTATTTTGTTTAAAGTTCGTTGCTATTAGCCAGGCACCATCAGGTGGACTATAGTTCGTTTCAAACTACATTTTTTTTTAAAAAAGCACACAGACAATACCAGACATCTCACGCTTTGCTTGGCAACAAGATCTTCCTGACTTCCTTTACTTGACTCTTGTAACACCTACGGGATAAGATGGACAAACAATACGCTAACGATAACGAAGATTATAAATTTGGCGTTCAAACATTATAATTCATGGAAATTTTCAGATACCATGCAACGCAACTAAGAACCGGACTAAGAAACAGATCACGACGTAGTGCAGAACTAAAGTAAGTCGCAAAGCAGATGTTTCAAAATGGGCCAGGTCTATGCACACTACCTCAAAAAAAATTAAAAAAATCTGTAAAATTTGTAAAAAATACAGATAATTCATTTAAATGTATCCTGTCGTGGTGAACAATTAATGTTTATAAAATATTTTTATCGACTTTCAACACGGCGTCTCACTCTCACCGATTTAGTTACTCTGTGTTTATAGACAATGACAGTAAACCATAAAGGGAATGATCATAGTAAGAGAACTGTCAGTTGTCACAACAATGTTAAAGATACGTGAAACATGAAGGTTAGAGAACAGGAGAACGATCGCCGTAGAAAATAGTGTCCCAGAAATATGGACACCATCAGTGAGGCGCTGCGATCACTAAGTGCAGTCAATAAAAGTCATTTTCAGTCTATTTTTCCGATCAGATGCTCAACCACTTGCACATATAAAATATTTCTCAATTTTTTAATGTTTCTTTTTGTCAAAAACTACAAAATTACGGAGCATGAAAATTTTCTCATTATAAATGAAATGAAAATTTGTACATTATTCAACTAACTTCACCTACTTGTACTCATAAACAGCTGACTTCGCAGTCACTACTCACCGACGTCAGCGCCGCTATAAATTCTATAATTTTCAAGGACAGGCGGGCTATGCTTTAGTACGTAGCGATCGTTCTCCTGTTCTCTAACCTTCATGACTTGAAATAAACATGTCAAACATCATTTATCAATAAAAATAACAGCTTACCGCAATGGCGGGTTTTTATTGTGCTGCAATGACAAGTGTAATTTTCTGTGCTTTACCAGCAAACAAAGCCATTATAAAATATTTGGACACTTAAGAACCGTTTCAAATATGTTTCCCTATTTTTGAGTATAGTGTACATGAACCTAATAATTTCTTATATTTACGTGAACACTACACATTGAAATAATATTCAACTATAAATACCCGACGTTTCGAACGCTTTACAGCACCCATGGTCAAGTGTAACGTCCCTCTGCAAGATGCAGGAGTGTACATGCTTGATTGTGAATGTGGTCTCTATTACATAGGACAATCTAAAAGATCAATTAAAACCCGCGTTAAAGAACATATAGCTGATGTGAAGAATCGACGCTTCGGGAAGTCTGCAGTCTGCGAACACGTACAGGATCGCCCCCGTTACTACATCAGATTTGATAGACCACAAATTCTCGCTAAAGAACACCGATCCCTTCCAAAATGATTCACGGACCTATTGAAATCAAAAAACATCCTAATTTCAATAGAGAAGATGGCTGGGTGCTACCATCTGCTTGGCATCCTATAATAAATAAAATTAAATCCCAACCCAATCATACAACTGCAAGACTTCGAGATACCATAAGTTCATACTGTGTAGATCGGAACAAAAGTTAAATTTTAATCTATGGTAACCCGCTGTTAACTATGACATCTGGACGATGGACGTTGAACATTTCAGTCCCTCCCGTGACCATGGGTGCTGTAAAGCACTCGAAACGTCTGGTATTTATAGTTAAATATACGCGATAAAATCCGTAAAAACTAGTATTATTTCAACGTACATGAACATGTCCCAGGCTCCATACATTTTGGAACATCTCATTTTTAAACCATGTTAACTCGTCACTCTTTATTGGACCGTATAAGTGTACTGCTTGACATCCTCTCCCGTTTAAGGATCATCATCATCATACAGCCCTTCACAAGTCCACTGCTGAAGATTGGTCTCCCCCAAGGAATGCCACAAAGCACGGTTCTGAGCCACCTGTATCATTCGACTTCTTGCCATTCCATCTAGTTGAGGGCCGCAATATGCTTCACATACCGGTACGAGGCTGCCATTTGAGTACTTTTCTTCCCCATCAGTTGTTGGTTCTTCGAGTTATATGACCGGCCCATTGTCACCTCCGCTTGCTAATCAATTTTTGATTTGCCTTAATTATTACGCTTAACAGAAAGATTGACGATGGTCATGATGGCAGACAATCACGTGCACCTCGAAAGGCATAGCAATGAACTGGAGAGGGGACAGGAAAAACGTATGCAATTAGTTTAATTAAAATTTTCGTATTTTTAAAAATACTAAAAAAAGGGCTCTAAATAATAGATTTTAGAAAAAAGAAAAAAAAAACTCGGACCGAAGACAAGACGCGAACCTAGGCATTAAGATTTCGCGACCGCTCGATATCCACTTGAGCTATTACGATCATTAACACAGTGTCAAAATTTACCTTCTTATATTGCAGCAGTTTTCGACTGCCTGAAAACACGGATAAAAAGACATTTTCTAAAAATAAATCCTAGCTAGATCGATTTATTGCCCCCGAAATTCCCCGGACACTAAATTTTATGAAAATCGTTGGAGCCGTTGCCAAGATTCCGATTAATATATATATATATATATATATATATATATATATATATATATATATATATATATATATATATACAAGAATTGTTCGTTTAAAAGTATAGGATTTGAGCCGCCTCCACGCGCTAATTCATACTTTGACACTTACGTGTGTGTTTTACACTTACGTTTGGAATTTTTAACGACTGTATTTCATGGGTTCGGTAACCTAAGTTACTACTTATAATATCAGCTATCTGCCAGTAAAAAGCCCGACAGAGTCGGTCTAGCCATTTAAAAGATTTGCCGGCACAAACAGAAAGAAAAATTTAAAGAATTTTTTTTGTTATTATTACCGTATAAACTTTTATATGCATTTAATAGAAAGATGTTACTTTTACACGACAAACAGAAAATTTAATTTATTTGTATAGATAAAAATAGTCTAAATATAAGTTAAAACCAATAAGTACATATTTACGTGGTAGTCACGATAAGATACAGTTGTAACATAACTGAGTCAACTCGAGCGGACTATGACCACGCCCTCGCAGTATATCAGCCTGATAAAGAAGGTTAACGCTGCTGTGCTTCGTATGGTGAGTGTGTAGAACCGGAGACCCTTTTATTGGAAATGAGGTATTCCATCTTATCCCTCTGTCTTGCTTCTGTAATTTGTTTCGTCCTGCCCTGTGTCATGCTGTACTATGTAGGTACCTACGATAGGATTTTAAATCCAAAGAAGAGACAATTTGTTTTTATTGTCTTATGAAATTTTATCTGTGACTACTTATTTTGTTTATTGCTACACACAGATTTTTAGTTTAAGTAATTTGCAAGGAGACTCTCCAAAATATGATATTTATAAAATTCAATAATGATATTCTTTCAGGTGTGTTTTGCCGCCACAACCTGCGAACGGAGAGTACAAAGTGACAAAAGGGAGTGTCGTCAACGGGAAATCGGCGCTCGTCAACCTTCTATACTCTTGCAATCCAACATTCGCGCTGGTTGGTGGTCCCAGCGCCTTTTGCTGGAATGGAGAATGGAATTATGTAGATCGACCCCGTTGTGTTCGTAAGTAAAATTTTCTTGTACCTTCTCCTTAGAGCCGTGGTAGCTCAGATGGTTAACACTCGCTGCAAATATAACAGAACGCGAGTAACCCGGGTTCGATCCCCGCCGGCACCAATGAAATTGTTGATTGCAATTTTAAATGCTTGTTTACACCATGTGCTCGGCGGTGAAGGATAACATCGTGAGGAAACCTGCATGTCTGAGGAATAAGAAAAAAAATATTTCGAAGACATGTGAAGTTCGCCAACACGCATTGGGGCAAGGCGGCGGACACTTCCTTGCCCTAAAACTCTTTCAGAAATGAGGGGAGGCCTGTGCCCAGCAGTGGGACGTATATAGGCTGTAACTTTACTTTACTTTACTTTACCTTCTCCTTAGAATCTCTGATGCCAATTCCGGAGTTGACGTCTTCAATTTCTATTAGTATTAGGTTATAGGCAAAGCTCAATTTTAGAGGGCTTTTATTTTTTATCATTGGTGCGTCTGTTAGTGATCGCGTAGCTTCTTAATGTCTTGGCCGATTGAAATCCTGTTCACAAAATTCATTTGTATTCTATGACAGCATCTATCTATGTTCATAGGATAACTCACAATAACCATTTTTGTATAAAAAAACTCGCACAACAAAATTATTATGGTGACGGTCAACGCTGCGGTAGAGATGTTATCGGCGCGTGTGGGGCTATTGTATGCGCAGGTGGAGACAATGGACAAATATTACAAAGTACACATTTAAATAAAACTAGTTTTTACGGATTTTATTGCTTTATATCTTTATTGCAAACTCCTTAACACAATTTATATTATAAATTCTGTTAAGGAGTTTGAGAAAATCTAGCTGAGAAGATCTTTTTCTGTTTCACTGGATATAGAGCTGTGAATGAGATTGTTACTCCTCATCGCTCTGTTTAATTTTTTTTATGGGATAGGGTGACAAACGAGCACACAGTCCACCTGATGGTAAGTGGTTGCTGCGGCCCATAGACATCTACATCCATACTCGATTACAAATCAAAATGCAGATGCGTTGTCACCCGTGAGGACTAAGATGGAATGCCTCGTTTCCAGTAAAAAGGGTCTCCGGTTCTCTACACTCACCATACGAAACACAGCAGCATTAAGCTGCTATTTTACGCTGGTCTGTGAGAGCGTGGTCGTTCCCCGGTCGAGCCGACCCATTCGGGGCTACAACTATATTACTAATATAACTGAAGCATGGCTCTACCACGTATAAATATTCCCGACGTTTCGAGCACTTTAGAGCGCCCATGGTCACGGGGGGAGGGGACTGAGATGTTCGACGTCCCAATGTCATAGTTAACCACGGCTACCTCAAGATTATTTAGATATTTTCGCTCGAAAAATCAAGATTAGATAATTTTTGCTCGAAAAATCAAGAATATAAAGTAAGTTAATACGCGATAAAATCCGTAAAAACTGGTTTTATTTAAAAATATGAGAAAGAATACGAGGTGATCAAAAATGTATAAATCCGTTGATACCGTATTAGATACAGAACGGTGTACTTTATCCACAGGAATTCCTTAATACCCATAACCCTTCAGGACTTCCCCCATATAGTCTAAAAGTTAAATTCGGTGTTGATTAAAACTACTTTTACGGATTTTATCGCGTTTTATTTATTTTATTTTTAATACCCGACGTTTCCAGCACCCATGGTCACGGGGGACTGAGGTGACTGACATCCCGATGTAAAAGTTAACACGGAATACCTTCAGCTTTAGGTCGGACCAAAGACAATAATTAAAAAAGCTGAAGGTACTCCGTGTTAACTTTGACATCGGGACGTCAGTCACCTCAGTCCCCCGTGACCACTGACCTCTATATATACAAGTACACTGGACTGGCTATACACCGTGACATGATGAAGCGATTTGATTTCCGCCATTTTGGCGCTGACAGCAGAAGTGCACGTCCACGGAACTAATAATAGGGATGAGAGAGTGTACCAAATTATATCGATAAAAATTCTACCTATTACCTTCTACCTTTATCTAAATAAATAGAATGGACTCTATGGATAGATAGACTCTACCCGTAACGTCCATTTTAGTTATGTATCATACTAATATAATACCATTATCATTCATCAACATTAAAACCCTTCACAAGTCCACTGCTGAACATAGGCCTCCCCCAAGGAATGCCACAAAGCACGGTCCTGAGCTACCTGCATCCATCAACTTCCTGCATGTCTTACCAGGTTTGGACTCCATCTAGTGGGGGAACGTCCTACACTTCACCTGCCGGTACGAGGCTGCCACTCGAGAACCTTTTTTCCCCATCGGTATTCGGTTCTTCGAGCTATATGGCCGGTCAATTGCCACTTCAGCTTACTAATCCATTGGTAAATGTCGGCCACTCTGGTTCTGCTGCAGATATCCTCATTCCTAAGTTTGAACCCCTGAGCATAGCCCTCTTCATAGCTCGCTGAGCGACTTCAAGCTTTCTCATACGGCCAGCAGGGAAAGACCTCGTCTCAGATCCATAGGTCATCACTGGCAACACGGACTTGTTGTACAATCTAGTTTTGTGGTATTTCTGACGAGAAGATGTGTTGTAATCTCCCGAACGCTGCCCAGCCGAGTTAAATCCGTTGATTGACCTGTTGATCGAGGTCGAACTTACCTAGTCGGACTATTTGTCCCGAGTAAAAATACTCGTCAACAACTTCAGCTAAGTGCTCCCAAAAAGCCAAAAACCACCGGCATAGGTGTGACATGGACATTACACATGACTTTTGTTTTGTTCATGTTCATCTTAAGACCTATCCATTGGGAGACACTATTGAGGTCATTGAACATAGTGTGTAGGTCCTCCAGCGATTCTACCATAAGGACTATATTGTTGACAAACCGAAGGTGAGTGACGTACACGCCATTGACGTTAACACCGTATCCTTTTCAGTCCAGTAGCTTGAAGACGTCTTCCAATGCAGCGCTAAAGTATTTCGGGGATATTACGTCACCCTGTCTTAAACATCTCTACAGTTGAATTAGTTTTGTACTCTACTCGGATAGCCATCGTAGCCCTTAGAGCATTCAACTAAAAATTATTAAGATTAAACTATCTACACAAAATAAAAAAAAACATAGTTTCTAAAATAATTTGTAGTCAACCGTTCATTTAGTTCTAGTTAATACTAGAACTAAATGAACGGTTGAATTATAATTAAAGAAAATCAAATCAGCTGCTATAATAATGCTTATTCTAAATTATCATTCCTAATTATGCAATATAACTGTTTAACATTTTTAGCGATATTTCCACAATTATTTCCTCTGCGGCAGCAATGCGCCGGGTACGAGCTAGCAAGATAATATTAAAAAAATATATCAGTTATTTACAACGTTTTTCGAAATTAAAATTACAATATTAAAAAAATAACTGAAATTATCATACAGTCCTACTTTCCGTGGTATCGTCCCAAGAATGCTGGCTACGTGTCCTCTCTGAATGGCTATACTTAGCCTTCAAGCGAGGAAGCAACAAACTAAACAACTTCTTATTACCAGCAGCGATGATCAGTCGCAGATACAGTTTTTTAGGAACTACACCGCACGTGCACCCTACGGACCAATATTCTCTACAGCAACTAGCACAAATGTGTACTCATACTATTACATGCCTGCAATTGAGAAAGAATTAAATCTCTATATCGCACTTACTAAAACCCCATGGTGTTCTACCTCCACCGCAAATTGGCAGGGCCACGGAAACGCTTTCAAGCACATCCGCGGCCCCTCTGGCGCCAGCCACTCAATGGCAGACCGTCCTTAGTTGCTGACTTCTTCTCCCCGCTTTCATTCTCAGATAAGGCGCACCAGAAACACAAGCCACACTGCCCTTCGCGGCCTCTAACTCCACCTGCACTACGGACTCCCCGAGCCCGATATATGAATGGAGCCAGGGAAAAACGAGCACTTAGAAGCATCAAGGTGTGCGGCCTCACCAAAGTTATGAAAGATAGTCGAGTAGCGCATCGCCAATCGCCATACTAACACTCCTCCTCCCTTACTACTCCGCCTCAACTACAGCGGTACAGGAAGAGGAATCTCCTCTAGCTGCAGCCCACTAACTCACATCCAACGTGGCTCGACATCATCAGGCGACCTTTCGACACTTGGCTATGGCCTTTGAGTTTGGTGGTAAATTAAAGAAGAAGAAATAAAAAAAAACATTTTAAATAATAATCTAATACTTTTATACTTACTGGTACTGGTACTACCAGTAAATATTGTCGGTATACTGCACTGTTTCAAAGTGGTGCAGTTCTCATGTCTAATAAAACAGTCGTCTGTGAAATGTTTGTAACAAATATGATCATTTTGTTTCGGACGCTAATTCACAATATTTATGCTTTTAAGCCATAATTTTAGTCTAGGTTCAGTTGGAAACCTGTTAATTAATAAACATTTGATAATCATCTATTGTTGGCGACTTTCTTTGTTAACAGATATTGGTAGGAAAGAGCATCGATAAGTATTGTAGACAAGGAACTCGACAACCCTATTGAATTTTATTGTTTATCAAAACTCAGTAATATACACCCAAACATGTTAGTATAAATGAAATTAAGATTAGTAACAAATTTCTAAGTACTTATATTATCAAATAGTTTTAATTTGTTTAATATTTGCTGCAAATTCACTTACTTGTGAAATGTTATACCACTTCCCTTTTGGTAACGAGTTTTACAGATTACGCACACTCTCATTATTAATAAAAATAATTCTTATTATGTAACTAATATTATACACAATCAAACAACATAAAATACTTTAGTTTTTTAGTTTAAAAGTTCAAAATACAGACTTATCAAACAAGACTATAAATAAGACAACAGACTTTGACATATTACGTCAATTTTATTTTTCAAGACATCCTTTAGCGGCGCTTCAAATTGGCACAGTCATTTTGTATGGTGTAGCCAGTCCAGCGTACTTGTATATATAGAGGTCAGTGCCCGTGACCATGGGTGCTGGTTTCTGTATATATTACTCTACTCTATTAAAGCACCCGAAAAGTCGGGTATTAAAAATAAAATAAATAAAACGCGATAAAATCCGTAAAAGTAGTTTTAATCAATGTATAGTGTTTGCGTAAATGTAAGAAATCATTAAATTCGGTGTTCCAATTATTTTATTGTGGAACCTAAACCCGCCTAATCTGTGTCACTTTGTCTTTTATTTAGAAACGTTACGTGGAAGCAGTTTACAAACATAAATTGCATAAGGAGTAACATTCAAACCGGTAGCAATTGTTTGTATGGCCTGCAAATACCTGACCCATGCGGGATTCGAACCCTCGATCTTCAGCGCCTCAACTCAATTATAAGCTACATTTTTACAGGACCAGCGGTAGGTCAGTTGGTACATATTTCTCGAAATCTTATGATCTCTACAGATTTATCTTTCCAATCTTAATGATAACAAGTTTTAATAAACATTTCTTTCACCATCACCATCAACAAATCCATGTAAATATATATTTGACGTTAAGGGAAGATTACTTCACTCAGGTATAATAATATTAGGTCAAGAAATGCGGAGTATCTGCCCCGGCTTCGCACGAGCGATATCTTGGATTCTACAACGGCGCCATCTACCGGGTCCAACTACGCTTATAACCTTTACGGAAGTGCAAGCAATATGTTGACAAAGTTTTACCACTATAACTGCGCTCTGCCCCGGCTTCGCACGAGCGATATCTGGATTCTACAACGGCGCCACCTACCAGGTCCAACTACGCCTATAAACTTTACGGAAGTGCAAGCAATATGTTGACAAAGTTTTACCGCAATCTGCTTAATGGTATGACAGCGCATAAAATTGGAACAAACAAAAATTAATTTTTATATTATGATAGCCGCTCTCTATTTCGAAGGAAGCGTCGAACTTTGCTCATGAAATTTGACATTAGGCCCACTTTACACTTTGAGAAGTGACAAGTGCGAGTGGCAAGTGAGAAGTGACAAGTGCGTGTTTTATTCCCACCTATCATTTGTCATTGCCTGTATACACGCACGAAGCACTTGCCACGTGTCAGTTGCACTTGTCACCTGCACTTGTCACTTCTCAAAATGTAAATCGGGCTTTATATACTAGGCGTGGCCGGCCTCATTATAATTTGATTTACAATCGATCCGAGTGGCCTAGCGTAATTTTGTTTATGATTTGTGTAGACGATAAGATAAAGAACAACGTAGCGTTTGTTATTTTAACAAAGGTTCTGTAACATCATATAACAATTTATATGAGACTGAAGTCAAGGCCAAACGTACTTTGGCGGTTTCTGACGAACAACGTAAAATTGTGAAAAAAATTACGCAGAAATAGAATATAGCTAGAATAGTTATTTGTACTATTAAACAAGAAACAATAATAATTATGGTAGAAAATCTTCATAAAAAAAATAAAAGAATATACTCGCCGTTGTACAATTTAGCCACTAAAAATGGCAACTTCAAATTTCACTCCATAATCGTACAAAAAGTTTGTTGTAATGAAGTTGCAAACTTGCGTCCTGATATTATACATATAATCTTCTAAACTATCGTTTAAAAACGTTTTGATAGGACTTTACGGTCTTTAAAATAGAGTTAAGCGTCGTTTAATAAAAAGTAAGTTTCGAAAACGATTGTTGCCAAGTTCGGGTTTTCGGGTATTGGAAACGATCATTGCCAGAAGCAAGCGTGCGGTTATATTTAAAATCAAGATATATCTAATATCTAGCAACAACTAGATATTCGTACAGGGCGGGCGAAGCCGGGGTGGGCCGGTAGTTAAGTAATAAAATCTTGTCGGAGTTTTTCAAAGGAAACTTTATTTTCATTTTTCAGAGACGTGCAATTTAATAAAACACCGCAGTATGCAGTACAACTGCATCATAAGCGGTTCCGATGCAACCAGACCCTGCAATAACAACGAAGTGGAGGGCACGGTGATACAGCCAGCTTGCAAGAAACCGCACTACTACACCCCAGTGGAACTGCCATATATGGTCTGCCGACAAGGGAACTGGAATGTCTTGCCAACTTGCATTCCAGGTAAGTGTCTGGTGTTGGATGCCCGAAAGAATCAAGTACCTGAAATCATATCGTGAGGGAAACTGAATCAGGAGATAGGCAGTTCCATCTTAGTCCTCAGGGGTGCCAACGCATCTGCATTTTCATTCTTAATCCAAGATAGATGTCTATGGGCCACAGCATCCACTTACCATCAGATGGACTGTGTGCTCGTTTGTCACCCTTATTCAGAAAAAAAACGAGTGTGGTTATGAGCTGACACGACTAAAGTAAAACGATAATATATATATATATATATATATATATATATATATATATATATATATATATATATATATATATATATATATATATATATACAATATGTAGCGTAATTAACGCACACCCTCAGACACCCCAACTAGTATATTATGTTATAATCATAATACATACACTGAACTTTTAGTTAAACATTTTTATGCACTGATTATTTATCAAATTAGTTATACTAATTCCGGAAGAATGTTGCGGTCAAAGTACAAATACACGAACGCAAAGACTTCAACGTGCTTGAAATAAAGTTCATTTTTCTTTATTTTTATTGAATGACAGAATTAGTAATAATACAAATAAAACTGCACTCTTAAAAGTCTTATTGCCTTAAGTTACGGTCCATTTCAGTTTGTTTTGACTGTACAGATTTAGTGTGACTGTAATTTACGTGGTTTTAATTAATTTTGGGATAAAAAATTACCTATATTAAAAATGATAGGAATCGATTCAGTAAACGATTCTGAACAAACTACTTTCTCAAAGTGCGTTAATTATGTTACATGTTGTATATATACATATATTAATTTTCTACAAATATTTAAATTTATTTTGCGAATTCCTTCCATGATTTTTCACCCGAAAACTCACAAAACATGCACTTTAAAAAGTATATACAATTTTGTTTACTTTAAACGTAGAACATTTAATGTATTGAACAAAATATTAATTCATAAATTTCTTCAAAATGAAATAAAACTACGAAAAATAACTGCCTATGAGAGAAAGAGAGAAAGTAAATGCGCGCGCACTGCTCTATCTTGCTTATGTCCGCCACTCAACTCTCGTTCGCCTCGCCCGATCACACTTTTCGTAACGCTTTCGTCACGCGATCGCCAGCTTACTCCCCAAGTAAAAAGTAAAAAGTCAAGCGTGCGTAAAGAAGTTTTACTTCAAAAAACGTCTTCCTGATAACAACTCATTAAGAGTTAATAATTCCGTTGCTAATGTGCCTGCAGTCATGGTTGATGTACTCCAGACCGAACTTTAACCACGACGGCTCAACGGAGACTAGCCATCTGCGCAATTAACAACTTTTGTGGGTTATAGTGTCCGCGTGTATGCGCAAGCACAGGTGCACTCTCTATTCCCTCACTCTCAAAGCCTGATGGGAGGGCAAACTGACACGACCGGAGACAGATAAGGCGCAGGACCAACGGCTTTACGTGCTTTCCAAGGTACGATGAAGGGGGGGGTAATACGCCAACTTTCAGATTCCGGGCTGCTACTTAGACAAAGAAAAGGGGAGATCTAATATCAGGTAAGATGTTCGGAGGGTGGTAGGTTATGGTAGCTGTAAAACAATATAACGACAGAATGAAAACTCACTACTAACGACACGTTACAGATTATCAAAGTCTACTTCTGAACTAATAATTGCCGACACAAGTCGTGAGCACACTTTTTATTGGTCGATATGACATTGACCACGCTGACGTTCAACGTGATTGGTTCGTCAGCCGATTCTCGTCGTCTATTGGGTTCGCACGTATCATTCGACTACCGTACACTTGAGAGCAATTTTAGTGACAACTATTTAATTAGTTTAGTTTTGTTAATTGTAGTGTTACCTCGTTGTTAATTGTTGTTTGTGTATTTCTTGTTTTCAACTGTTTTTAATATTTACTGTTGTTATATATTTTTTTGTCATAATTTGAGCATTCAGATTTTGGTCTAAATATGCAGAGAAGAAAGAATTCGGTGTTAAATAGACCATCCCGACATATGATCTATTCAGTGTTTTGTTACATGAAAAAATTAGGTATTGCGAAAAATATCATAGACTGCTGAGGCGACTAATGTCTACGTAGCTACTGTACGGCGTATATTTAAAAGAGTTAACGACTCAGAATTTCGAAAGAAAGTCATCGAAAATATTCAATTACGAACTGAAATAACAAAGGTACAAATAATTTTGGCCGACAGTGTACCTACGCTGGCTCAACGCCCACCATAGTTCATCTGTGCTCACGACTCGTGGCGTCAACTATACATACTATAAGTGATCTAATAACACAAATAAACAAAAGATATACAGTGTTTAAGTGCTTAAATAATTACTTTTCTATCTACAAAACAGTGCAGTGAGTGTAAATTAGCTGGTGAATCATCGATCTAGTCGCTATGATTGGTCTAATGACCAACTAGAGAGGATTACCTTATATGGTAATATAGGTTGCATGATCGACGTCTGACACTATTGTCGGATCGCTTGACAAATTTCGTCGTCTAAACTTAATCTCCGTGGTACAACGGATAAGGATTACGAATACCGTTTCACCGGACTCGGGATCGAATCCTATAAACGCAATTTCAATTTCTTCGCAACACAAATTTTTAAAATTCGGAATTTTTGATTTGAAATATTTCATTAAAAATTATAAATAGTACAAACATAATCAAAATGGCAGACTCAAATAAATGTAATGCCTGTTTGAATGAAATAGCAAACATTCTCTCAGTAAACTGCACACGATGGAAGGCGGGTTGTAGCATCACTCCTGCATGAACTATACATTAACTGAGTATAAGGCGCTATCAGTTGAGTTAAAATCTAAGTTGATATGCGCGCAATGTCAAAGTAAAGAACGCAAAGGAGGCGATAATTCAAACACTCTGATTCATAACAAAACTGGCAACGCCCCAACATCACCTCAGCTGGAGTTTGTTACGAAGCGAACGAAGTCACAACAGCAATCGTTCTCGTTTAACGGCACAACATACGGGACATAATCCGGGAAGAACTTCAATTTCATTTCACTCAGAAAGCGTTGGTAGCTCACTTCAATGTTGAACTTGAGAAAGTGAAGGCTGATTGTGTGAAGCAAACGAAAATAATTGATGTTTTAAAATCAGAGACTGAGCTACTGAAAACTACCAATGAAACGCTTTCATATCGCCTATCTCAATTGGACCAGCATGCGCGTTCTTCTAACGGGGAAATTCAATGCATCCCTGAGAATAAACAGGAAAATTTGATAAATACCGTAGTGCAGCTAGGAAAAGTAATCAAGGGCCCAATCAACGACACACAAATTCATTATTGCTCACCACTAGCTAAGTTGAGTAACTCTTAGTTAGTCCTCCTCCTCGCTCGATACTGGTCAAATTCAACTGCCCGCGACCACGCGACGAATTCCTTGCGGCATCTAGTAAGTTTAACAGAAACAATCGAGAAGACATGTTGAACACCAGCCACTTAGGCATCGGTGGGACTAAGAAAACAGCTGTATATGTAGTGGACCATCTTACACGCGAGAACAAGCATCTGCATGCTTAATTATTTTGAAAAGCCAATAGCTTGTTATTTAAATTTTTTTTGCGTATTTTTTTAAATGGAGATATATTTAAAAGACATAGCTTTATTAAATAAGTTGTCATAATGCCGCAAAATTTGAATTTGTTTGTACTTAGGGGCCCCTTAAACTGTTTCTATCAAAATGTAAGAGGTTTAAAAACCAAAACAATTGAGCTATTTAATAAGGTTGTGTGCAGCAATTATGATGTTATAGTTTTTACAGAGACATGGCTAAATAGTAGTGTTTCAGATACGGAATTATTCGACGATCGTTATATAGTTTACAGACGAGATAGGGAAGGTAGTGGATTTCACAGTAATAAATTGGGGGGTGGAGTTTTGATAGCTGTCTCTAAGCGTTTTATATCCTACCGAGTGTATGATTGTCAGTCGGACTGTGAGGACATCTGCGTTAAAATTTAAATACTCGATAAGAAGGGTGTAAATGAATATTTGTATATATGTGGCGTTTATATTCCTTCCCCTATACAGAAGCATATTTTGAAACACTTTGTTACAAACACCAACTGTAAGATACAAAAGCTCAGTTCTAATAAATATTGTTCTTGGGGATTTTAATTAGAGCAGTCTTTGTTGGAACAAGACGTCTACACTTGCACTAACAACTATAACTACAAATAGTTTGTTAAACAATGTGATAGTGGATTTCATGTCATTAAATAATTTATTACAATATAACTCATGCCTAAATATAAAAAAAAATCGAATTCTGAACTTAATAATAAGCTCACCACACATTTGTAAAAGTACTGACCCTCTATCCAAAATTGACCCGCTGCATCCTCCTATTGAATTTTGTGTTGAAATCGACCATAAAGAAAATTTAAAATCCAAGATGTAGCCAGATACCACTTCCTTAAAGCAGACTATGAAAAGATAATAAGCGAACTAAATAACATCCAATGGGTAAAAGAATTATCTAACTGTACTAGAGTTGACGACATGGTGACATATTTCTATAAAATCCTTGGGCTCCTCATCATCAAACATGATCCAAAATACAAACCGCGCTCTGATAAATATCCAATGTGGTTTTCCACTGCATTAGTTAAGGTAATCAACGAGAAGCTGAAATATCGAATTAAATACCGCAAATATGGCAACCCCCGAGAATTAATCACCTTTGTAGTACTAAGGGACAGATGTACAAAACTTTACAACATAAACTACAGATTATACATAAAGTGCCTAGAGTCATTGTTGTGTTTTAACCCTAAACTTATGTTGAGCTTTATTAAACATAAACGAGGTGGGACCTTACCCTGCACAAATGTCTTTCGGAATAAAGGTCACTTCATCGGGGACAGGCATTTGCGATCTATTTGCATCTCAGTTTTCCTCGGTTTACAACACAGAAAACCTACCCATCCCAGGGCAATCTCATTTGCCACTAGGTGCTAATTACTTAACTACAATATCGGTAACTATAGACCAAGTTTTCAGAGTTTTAAAAAGACTTGACCCTACTAATGGTGCCGGCTTCGATGGAATACCTTCTATCTTTTAACCCTTTTTGATTTCCCTTCTATCTGTGCCATAAGATGTGCTCGAGCACTTGCTCTGCCGCTTAGTATTATTATTAATAGCTCCTTAAGTTCTGCCATATTTCCAACAGCTTGAAAAAGTGCTCTTGTAATACCAAGACAGTTGACACGAGTGAAGTAAAAAATTATAGGCCTATATCTATACTTCCAACATTTGCGAAAGTTTTAGAATCCCTTTTTGTGCCCTATAGTATCATGTCACTTGAAACAGGTTATCGCACCCCAACAGCATGGCTTCGTATAGTCACGTTCCACTTCAACTAACTTAGTTTCATTCGTCGAGGACCTTGCTGAGGAGGTCGATCACGGGAAATTATACGATGCAATATACACCGACTTCAGTAAGGCCTTCGACAGGGTAAATCATGAAACACTGTTGCACAAACTTTCCTCCATCGGAATAGCCGGTATGTTTTTAAACTAGTGGAGATCATACCTTTCAGATAGACAATCAATAGTTGTAGCCGGATGGTAAAAATCCAAAGCATTTACAGCTATATGCGGAGTACCTCAATGGTCTCACTTAGTTCTTAAATATTTCATCAACGACACTGGAAAATGTTTCCAGGACTCTAAATTTTCAATTTTCGCTGACGACTTAAAATTATATAGAATAGTTAACTCATCTGATGATGCATTATTACTGCAGAGGAATTTAAATAATTTAGCGATGTGGTGTGTTGAGAACGGAATGAGCATGAATCCTGATAAATGCCAAGTAATGCGTTTCAGCAGAAAGAGACATGTACCAACCAGACTTTATCATATCAATGATATGCCACTAAAAGAGGTTAGCCACATTCGAGACCTAGGAGTCATCATTGACAGCAAACTATGCTTCAATATTCATATTGACTATATCATAAATAAGGCTCTTAGAATGTTGGGCTTTGTCCTTCGAAACCGTAAAGAATTTAGGAATCCCATGACAAAAATTACGATCATACGACACGTGTTTCGCCTCTACACCCTTTTTACTGGAAACGAGGCATTCCATCTCAGTCCTCACGGGTGACAACGCATCTGCATTTTGTTTTTTAATACAGGATAGATGTAGATGTCTATGGGCCGCAGCAACCACTTACCATCAGGTGGACTGTGTGCTCGTTTGTCACCCTATTCTATAAATAAAAATCTTTATTAAAAATTACAGTATATAACTGCCTTGTACGTAGTATGTTACAATACGGCAGTACTGTGTGGAATCCGCACTACGGTACCTATATCAAACGATTAGAGTGTACAAAAGCGATTTTTATGACAACCTATAGTTGCAACTTAACCAAGAAACTCCCAAGCTACAACGATCGACTACTACATTTTCGCCTCATATCACTCCGACACCGTAGGGAACTAATGACGTCATGTTTCTGTAAGCTAATAAATGGAAATTTTGACACCCCTGATCTTTTATCTAGAGTAAATATTGCTGTACCTAGAAAGCTATACAGACTTAAGAAACCTCCTTTTAAAAGTTATCCAGCTACGTCAAATTTGGGTCATTATGCTCCATTAATTTTATACGTGGTAGAGCTATGCTGCAGTTATATTAGTAGTATAATTGTAGCATGAATGGGTCGGCTCGACCGGGGCAGGACCACGCTCTCACAGAATACCAGCGTAAAATAGTAGCATAATGCTGCTGTGTTTCGTATGGTGAGTGTAGAGAACCGGAGAGCCTTTTTACTGGAAACGAGGCATTCCATCTTAGTCCTCAGGGGTGACAACGCATCTGCATTTTGATTCGTAATCGAGATAGATGTCTATGGGCCGCAGCAACCACTTACCATCAGGTGGACTGTGTGCTCGTTTGTCACCCGATCCTATATAAAAAAAAATTAAACAGAGCGATGAAGAGTTACAATCTCATTCACAGCTCTATATCCAGTGAAACAGAAAAACATCTTCTCAGCTAGATATTTTCTCAAACTCCTTAACACAATTTAAAAATTTTGCAGCTCAAGTAATAACGGAATTATTCGATTATTATGTACGATAGGTAATTTTAATTTGAATGTGTGTGAGCGTTATTTTTATTTTTATTTTTCTTTCAATTTTTAATTTTGACTTATAAATAAATTTTTATTTTAATGACATTTCGGCTTGTTTAAAATTTAATTGATGTTTTTATCTCTATTAGTTTTTAAATGATATATTGCTCTTGACATAGTTAAGTGTAATGCATTAATAAAGTTTTATTATTGTTCTCGTTAATAGTACTAATAAGTTAATCAATTGTAATAACTTACCTATAATAATGCACACATTTTAATATAAATAAATTATAGTTCTTTACAACATAAGTTAAACTACGAGACTTTCCAAAAATGCTGTTTGCGTTTATAATTGAAGTAGCACTTTATATATTTCTTTTTTTTTTTTTTGTTTTTCTGATATTTTTGTATGTAATAGTGCGTACTTTGTTGGTTTAATAAAAAATAAATAAAAATTACTTTTTGAATAATAGAAGTTTTAAAGTTTTTTTTTTATAGAATAAGGGTAACAAACGAGCACACAGTCCACCTGATGGTAAGTGGATGCTGTGGTCCATAGACATCTACATTTATCCTCGATTAAGAATCAAAACGCAAATGCGTTGTCGCCCTTGAGGGCTAAGATGGAGTGCCTCGTTTCCAGTAAAAAGGTCTCCCGATCTCTACACTCACTATATGAAATACAGCAGTACTACGCTGCTATTTCACGCTGGTATTCTGTGAGAGCGTGGACCTTCCCCGTTCAAGCCGATTCATTCGTGCTACAACTATTATATATATATATATATATATATATATATATATATATATATATATATATATATATTTATATATACATATATATATATATATATATATATATATATATATATATATATATATATATATATAGCTGCAGCGTGGCTCGTGTAACACATTGCTGTATGTTTACATTACTGTACTTAAACAAGAAAGTAGAAATTTCTTACTCAATAACATGTAACGTATCTTCACAGAATGCGGCTTACTTACTTCGAAAAATGCATCAACTGGTGCAGTTGTACCCTGGCATGCTGGCATCTACTACAAAAATACGCCAGCCGTAACACACGAGCGTTTTTGCAGCGGTTCCCTGATAAGTAACTCTGTTGTAGTGACTGGTATGTGAAATATGCGAGTAACTTAGATATTATTTGGATATAATCGGAGACTAAGAAGCTTGTCATCTACCAAGTTCATTTGCGGGATTTTCTACTTTGATAATATTACACTTGAGCACATGTTGCGGGATAAGCAATTAAATAAAAAAATGAGAAAATACATTTATTTTTCAATAATACTTTTTCATAAATAAGTACCCAGAGAGTAATTCAATTCTAATAATACAATTCACTATAAGACGCGTAAGTTGAGAACCATTTTAAGATTTAGTTCAAATAGTCTACCGATTTTGAACATTTTAAACAAAGCCAATTATAGGCCGTTTTATGTCCAATTTTATCATCTTTAGTTGGGAAATATATATATATATATATATATATATATATATATATATATATATATATATATATATATATATAAAAGTCACAACTGTAGAAATATGCAAAATAAATTGTAACATGAAAATCAATAAATAAATAAATATTCCACATTGGACAAACAAATGTAGACTTAAGAATAGATTTAAATCATCTGTGCGTGCGTGCGTGTGTGTTTGTGTGGTTTGACTTTGAAGCTTCCGGTACCCAAAAACGTTGAACCCATTCCAAACAGGTGATATGGGGCAACGTTGGCAACGTTGCAATAGTACGGTACTGTTACTGAGTATACCATTGTTCAGTAGTTACTTAATGCTGCTGTATTTCGTATGGTGAATGTAGTGAGCCGGAGATCCTTTTTACTGGAAACGCGGCATTTAATCTCAGTCCTCAGGGATGACAAGGTATCTGCATTTTGATTCTAAATTGAGGATAAATGTAGAGAGTCTATGGGTCACAGCATCCACTTACCAGAACCAAAATTGAAACCAAAGCGCTTCTTCTTTGTAACAAATGAAGTCCTGGAATGATTTTCATAAAAGATTGGAAAATACAAAAGTGCACGCCTCATAATCTCATTAGATTATATAAAAAGAAAAATATCTCTTTTTCCATATTTGATTCGAAGATCCATGAGAATATTTTATTATAGAAAAGCACCAGTTTTTTTTAATTATTTTTATTAATTACAATTAAACGAGACCAAATAACTCAGTGATTTTTAAAAGGAACCTGTGCGTTGAAATTCTAAAAAACCCAATAAAAAAAGAATTATTTTGATACATTAATTCTAACGAAAGTAAAATCGTGCGCATTCCACACATATACACAAGCGGACACCCTCAAAAATTTTTTCAATCAGTATTTTAACACTAGAGAACTGTGTGCTCGCTTGTCACCTTTATTCTAAAATAAAGTTTTAGTTTCACGTATTAATATGCATTTAGATATTAAATAAGTCGCGTGAGGGTAATATCGTCACCGCCCTATAAAACCAAAGCTAGGAGAAAGACAGAGACAAAAGCACAAAGTTGTATACTATGACTAATATATTAAGAAAAAAAAGTAAACAAGCTTTGGCGATAATTAGGATCACTTCGAAAATTCTACTTAAAAAAATTAACTATACTACACCGTACTTAAACCGACTAAAATATTTACTATAATGTCAACTGTTAAAATAACGTCGATAAAGCATCGCCCTTTTGACTCTTTAGTATTTTATTGATCTACGAAGAACGATTGTATCACAAAGCCATCTATGCAAACATCTATGCAAACTATCCACGCAAACAAGGCTGTAGTTTCTTAGTTACAAGAAAGGGACCATATTAACCGGATGACCAATTACCCTCACGTACTATACAACGTTATACTTTTCTATTCTGATTAGCTTTACACAATTTCAGCGGCTCACTGTTTTTGGGATGAAAACATTAAGGCGATCAGGGATGAAAAAAACTACGCAGTAGCTGTTGGAAAACTATACAGCGATTGGGGTAACGCTGCTGATGAAGAGTACGCTCAGAAGTCTGACGTAAGCTTTGTAGATATTTTTTTAAACTGAAATGATAAATCAACTGACAGTCCACCTGGTGGTAAGCGCCTACTGCAGTCCATGACGCCATGAACACCTGCTGCCAACTTCAAATGACGAAGTCTTCTGATGCGTTGTCACGTCTGAAGACTAAGATGGAATGCCTGTCCTGCAATTCAACTGGATCTCTGTACCCTTCAGACAGTAAGTATATCCCTTTGGCAGTAGAAATAAGTTTTATAATGGTGACAAATGGGCGCCAGTCCACCTGGTGGTAAGTGGATGCTATGGCCCTTAGGCATCTACATTTAAGCTCGATTAAGAGTCAAAGTACATATGCGTTGTCACCCCTTATGACTAAGATGGTATGCCTCATTTCTCTCAAAGAGCCTCCAGTTCTCTACACTCACCATACGAAACACAGCCACAATAAATTAACAATATAATATTTTGGTTTAGTGCAAATAAAGAAACTTACAAAATTAGGCCCCAGTAGATCAAAACTATATCAAACATAATTGAACACGATTTCAAAATAGATGCAGATGTTGAGTGGTGAAGCATTAAACTGTGAATGACATATCGAGGGCAGAATCTACGGATGGTCCTCGGGATTGGGGTTATCCACACAGGGAAATGGAAGAGATTTGAAAAATTTTAATTCTCATTTATAGTACGAGTGGTGAATCCTAGATGTAATACTACATGTGTTTAATCAGTTCCAGCTACTAATCTAGAAAGAAGAAGCACGAAGTATAATGAATTTTATTTTTACGAAGTAACTACGACTGTACGAAGACCGAAGTGAAACTCATAGCGACATCTATCGGAAAGGGTAGATCAATGTCTGTAAGCATATATAAATATAATAAACTATTACCTGGAAGAGCTACGCTAAAAGCAAATTATGCTGCAGCATGAATATGTCGGCTAGACCGGGAAAGGACCACGCTCGCACGAATTGCCTGCATGAATAGCAGCATCATTCTCTTATCTTACGTATGATGTATTCCATTTCAGTCCGCAGAGGTAACAACACATCTAGGTTCTTAATCGAGGATTGATGTAGCTCTCAGTAGGTGCCAACATCAAATCACCATCAGGTGGACTCTGTCCTCATTTATCACCGATACTTAGATGAAAGATCCAAAAACTAGCAATAATCTAACGATTTTACGTGGTTAGAGTATTGTTGCAGATAAATTATGGTTGTAGCACGAATGGGTCGGCTCGACCGGGGTAGGACCACTCTCTCACAGAATACCAGCGTAAAATAACAATTTCATTCCGCTGTTTTTCTTATATAATTATAGTGTATATTTACTAAATTGTAAACAAAGTGTTCCAATTTAATTCTCAGATAAAGAAAATAGCCGTGCCGAAGCAGTTCCGTGGCGCAGAGACAAACTACCAGGATGACATCGCCGTGGTGGTGGTGTCGCCTTCCTTCGAATACCAGTTCCACGTGCGGCCAGTGTGCCTCAATTTCAAATACGAATTGTACGAAGAGCAACTGAAAAGCGGAAGCGTTGGCAAGGTTTCTGTCAGAATTTGAGTCTTGTTGTTCACTTTAAGATTAAAAGATTAGAACTATATCCATTCTCGATACTTCTTACGTGGTAGAGCCATGCTGCAGCTATATTGTGGTTGCAGCACGAATTGGTCGGCTTGACCGGGGTAGGACCACGCTCTCACAGAATACCAACGTAAAATAGCGACCTTCAGTTTCCCCATATTGCCAACAGTGAAAGACCACATTTCAAATCCATAATTCGTTACTGGTAACACGCACTGGTGTTACAATATCGTTTTCAAGTTTTGAAGTATAGCTGACGAGTAAATGTGTTGTAAATGCCCAACCGCTGCCCAGCCAAGTTGAATCCGTCGATCTTATTCTTTAATTACAGCCGAACAAAATCCACAGCTGATCTTGAACTCTGAAGAGTTGGCAACCGTAGTTTTTATTATTTCGAGTTTGTTATCAGGTAGATGCTGTTGCTCATATCCTGTTCTATTCCCCTTTGTCGGAGCTGACAAAGAGCCGTAAGCTTACGACACGAGATATGGGTTGTAGATGTTCTTACGCCGGCTTTACATGGCAAGGTTTGCAATGTATTATTAGAAATATAAAAGGTCGGCAACGCATATGCAATTCCCATGGTGTGGCGGTTGTTCCTGGGCGGCGGTAGTGTCTTACCATCAGGTGAGCCGCGTGCTCATTTGCCCTCGCTTATATAAAAAATATAAAAAGTAATAAAATAGTCCTCAGAGGTGGCTACAGGTATCCTTGAACCGCAGTAGCCACCTGCGACCTGATGGGATGTAAATTTGTTTGTCACATCATTTATATAAAAAATGTAAGTATTTTAAAGTGGGCTTTGTACGGATATAAATATTAAAATGTGAGTAATGATTACAGTCTGCTGCATGGGATGTTTCTTCTGACATTGAAGTATCCAACTCAAATAAGCTGCAAGTGATCGATATGCCTTTCCGTTCTCATGACGACTGCACTACGACTTCAGCCGAGGACAAGTTCTGCGCTGGGGATGCAAATGGTAGTGTTTTTATTCTATACTGTAACCACTGCATACGTCGTAGACCCACGCTGCAGCTATATTATAGTTGTAGCATGAATGGGTCGGCTCGACCGGGGTAGGATCACGCTCTCACGAAATACCTGCGTAAAATAGCAGTTTAATACTGCTGTGTTTCATATAATGAATGTGAAATGAATCTTAGCCTCAAGACAATAACATCTGCGTTTTGATTCTTAATGAAGGATAGATGAAGATTTCTATGGGCCACAGTATCCACTTACCATCAGGTGGACTGTTTGCTAGTTTGTGACCCTTATTCTATAAAAAAAGGAGTCCTGTCACCTAATTAACAGGCAACTAGCAAACGTCATCACCTTACTTTCGTTCCAGGTCCAGCGTTGTGCGGAACAAATGGCGGTAGTGGTATCACATTCCCCGCTACCATCCAGAACACCACCAGGTACTACCTTCGCGGGGTAGCATCCATCAGGCCGACAAACGACGGGAAGCAGTGTAGCACTTTCACCACGTTCACGTCGATCGCTAAATACCAGAACTTGATCAAGACGTACTGGTTCTTGTAGCCGAGATACCGGAATTCTAGTTCCATACAGCACGAACAGAAGTCACACACGAAACGCAATTTGTAATAAATGACTATTTAAACAATTGCATTTTTTTTTGTAGATTAAAAAAGAGATTTACAATTTATTTATTTTTTCATTTATTTCATTTATTTAAACAACCAAGGCTCATATTTTGTTAGTATTACTTATAACTAAACTTAACACTATGTTAGTAGGCATAATATTATTATTATATATATGTGAAGTACAAAAAAATAAATACATTTATATTTATATGTACCCGATATGGCACTACAGTGGCATATGTATAGGCAGACCAGTCTGCTAGCAATCACTTTCAGGACACTATTGTTGCTCCCCCGCACCATGCGCTCCGGAGACGCGCACCTCTTGCGCATAGTCGCGTAAAATCAGTCCACTCGCGCTTCCGTGAACATCCCTCATGCACTACAGAAGCGAGGCAGTCCCAGCAGCACCCTAAATGCGTTGTTGTATTGTACTCGGAGGGCGTTGAGTATATCTAGCCCACAGGCTGCACGTGTAAAATGACTCGCAGTAAGCTCTAAATAGGGCTATTTTAAATGCCTGTGAACAGCCTGCAAACCTGCGAGCTATCACGTTCGCTCTTACTGACAACGCCATCAGTTCCCTCTCAATGTCATCATCATCCATGAGACGAGGAGTCAGAACATGGCCAAGATATTTATACCTAAACGCTATTTGTAAAATATTACCATTAATTGAAATAGATGGTTTTATGTCATGTTTCTTACTCCCGGTCTCAAAGACCATTACATGGCTCTTTTTTACATCATAATCCAAACCATGTGCGAGGGCGTAAGCTTTACAAATATCCACCAGTCTTCGTAGGCCGCATACAGATGCACTCAACAACACCATATCATCTGCGTAACTGATGTCGTTGACGCAGATATCGTCTATGTGCCAAGTTTACCTCTATATGATTTAGATAGGGCGCCTTCCCATCTCTCGTTATTGACCTGGTTCCCGTACCAATACTTGAAAATATTTATGAGTTCCAAAGGTAGTTGGATCTTCTCCAGTTTATCCCAGAGTAAGTCGTAGGACACAAGGTCAAAAGCCTTTGAGAGGTCTAAGAAACAAGCGAACACTGGCGTTTTGCGTGCCGTGTAGTAAGGGACAGTGCGCTTAAGACACAACACCGCGCTTTCTGTAGACAATTTCGGTCTGAACCCAAATTGACTATCGTACGGTTTTACGTATTTATTTAATTGCGAATTAAGCACACTATCAAATACTGTTGAAATGACAGTTGCTAACGTTATAGGTCTATAGTTGTTCCGTGAGATCGCCTGTTTTATTCTTCACTATAGGCACTATAAACGTACGTATCATGCCAGGGGGCATGTATCCATGTCCTAGGCCGAGATCAAATAATAAATATAGTACCCTAAGTAGGTGTGGGCTAGCAAACTTGAGATGTTCGATACGGAGCCCATCATGGCCAGGGGATTTACCTCTAGACATAGATTTAACTACCTGATCTATTTCTTTCATTGTAAAATTTCGACTGTATGTTTTTTTTTTGTATCTGTTAGCCGATATCTTCGTCAATGAGGGCTAATAATCTTCCGCTAACTTGATATGGCTAGATGACACTGAGGTGAAGTTTTTGTTACAAAATGTCATTTAAATGAGAAGTTAGCTTTAAATAAAAGTTCGTTACTTTTTAGAATATTACACTATTTTTCCTTGTGGAATCGACTACCATCAGAGATTTTTCCGGACCGATACGACTTACGGAACTTCAAGAAAAGAGCCTACTCCTTTTTAAAAGGCGGTAACGCATCTGCAATTTCCCTGGTATTTCAGTTGCTCATGGGCAGCGGTAATCACTTACCATCAGGTGAGCCTTATGCTCGTTTGCCCCGTCTCATATAAAAAAATACTAATACACAATACAATGCCTCAACGGGTTGTCCTTCAATTTTTAGCACGTTTTGAACTCATTTTTTAAATTTTCATTTATTTTAAATCTAATTAATATAAAAAATAACTAATATTAGAGAAAAAAACTTCAACCTATACATTTTTCGAACAATCGACTACCCCGCTATGAAATCTGTCAAATGTTACACCTCACGTTTATGTGGCGCCGCCCTGGTGGCAGAATAAGTAATCGATGCCTTCATTGTGAACTGATTCTCATGATGCTTTTTCCATTGTATAGGTTATATTTCAAGGCTTGTGGCTTTGTGACTCTATAGACGTATTTGATCTGAAAGTCTTTGGGCAGTTAAGTTTGTTAGGTTGGGTTGTAGCTGTTGAAATTCAGATAGCATTTTAGGGCGATAAGATGTAAGATTGGTTCCTCCTTTGGTAGCCTTATAGTACGCGCGCATAACACTTATATTTAATTCTTTAGTCCAGCGCATGGGTCGTCGCACTACACCATCAGTAGCGGGGTCCTCATGTAGGATGGTAATTCCTGCAGGTCCCAAGCCAACCGCTGACTCTATAGACGAAATTGAGTCCTAAATACACTCAAATATCACACATGTTTACCCTTACCCTTTGGCTGAATCAAAGAAAACAAATAAAATTTTATAAAAATTTTCTTCAGAAGAAGAAGACTTCAGAATATGAAACTATTTTATTCTTTCTAGATCTTTAAGACGACTTTTTCTTTTTATTAAAAGATTTTTTTTCCTTTAACACTGAAAAGTCATACACACGAATTGACAACCTCTTCCTTTTTGAAGTCGGTTATAAATTGATGTGCCTTATAAACTTTACCTGAACTCTTACAATTAGTGTTTATAGCTATTTAATGTAATACGATGGCCAAATTCTGCTTGCGTATTCTAAAAAACTTCGAACTTACGCGTTATAAGAAATTTGAATACTACTGTAGTTTATGTCCGAAAATTTTTTACAAATGCGAAGTCAAATCCTAGTATTTACAGGCTTTTTATACTATTATATCTACCTACCTAGCACAGCGCTGGGCACAGGCTTTCAAGTCCAAGGGGGAAGCCTTGGCGGTTAGTTTGGACATAGCAAAGGCCTTCAATCGGGTTTGCACAATGCGCTTCTTTCGAAGCTAAGAAATTATGCATTTGCATCACAATTTTTTTCTCAGATCGGAGCATTAAGATCGTAGTCGACGGTGAATGCCCTGACTCCAAGCCTGTAAATGCTGGTCTTCCACAAGGCTGCATACTATAGCCTACCCTGTTCCTTCTGCATATCAACGGTATGTCACAAACCAGGTAAGATTTATTGTTATGCATATAATAGCACTGGCAAACTGGCGACGCCTTATACGCCGGGCGTGCTAATATTTCTTGGAACAACGTCGTCGAGTGCCGCAAAAAGTAGTGCTGAAGTCGAGTCTTTGTTCAACGAAATTTCAGATTGAGGGCGATTAAATCTAATCCAGTACAATCCCCAGAAGACACGAGTTCGCGCGTTTACCGCTAAAAAGAACCCCTCTGTCATATCTCCTTTGTTTGAGGAACTTCCCTCGTTACTTTAGCTAGCATCGATATCCTGGGCGTCAACATGTCGAATAACGTTTAGTTCCGCGGTCACTTGGAAGGGGAGGCCAAATTTGCCTCTTGTAAGCTTAGCGTGACTTGTAAAGCAGGACAGATCGGCTTTACATGGAATACTGTTCTTGATCGCATCTAGCGCGGAGCGGCTCGAATCATCGGCGAAAAGCTGTTCCTCATCGGATTGACTCACTGGCGCTACAAAAAGATTTTGCATCTCTTTATCATATATTATTGCATCTACCACGGGGAGTGGTCAGAGGAATTGTATAGATTAATTCCAGCCGCTCAATTTCACAATCGCACATTGCGACATAACTCGCGATACCATCCATATGGCGGCGTCCAACACTTCACGATTTAAAAGAAGTTAAAAGAAGCTACCTCGTACAGTTTCCTTGTGGAATGGACTATCCAGCGATTTTACCACCACGACCGATACGACTTAGGGACTTTCAAGAAAATAGCCTACTCTTTTTTAAAAGGCCGGAAATGCTTCTGCTATTCCCCTGGTACTGTCACTTACCATAGGGTAAGTGTAGGTGGGGTGACCCGCATGCTCGTTAGCACCCCCCCCTCGTTTATTTTATCAGTGTCCTACCTACATGTTTTTATACAATAAAGATGACAAACAAGCACATAGTCCACCTGATAGTAAGTAGACGCTGTGGCCCATAGACATCTTCATATATCCCCGATTAAAAATCTAAACGAAGATTTTTTTTATAGGGTAGGGTGACAAACGAGCACACAGTCTACCTGATGGTAAGTAGTTTCTGCGGCCCATAGACATCTACATCTATCATCGATTACGAATCAAATGCAGATGCGTTGTCACCCGTGAGGACTAAGACGGAATGCCTCGTTTCCAGTAAAAGGGGTCTCCGGTCTCTACACTCACCATACGAAACACAGCAGCGTTAAGCTGCTATTTCACGCTGGTATTCTGTGAGAGCGTGGTCCTTCCCCGGTCGAGCCGACCCATTCGTGCTACAACTATACTACTAATATAATTGCAGCATGGCTCTACCACGTATAAAAAGATGCGTTGTCATCCCCGAGAACTGAGATAAAATGCCTTCTTTCCAGCAAAAAAGGTTATCCTGTTCTTTACACTCACCATACGAAACACAGCAGCATTAAGCCGCTATTTACGCTAGTTTTCAATGAGTCCGTCCCCGGTCTTAACCCCTGAGCCATTTCCTTTGAAAATGGAATGATCATCATCATCATCTAATAGAGAGGATGAGATAAGATGAGGAAGTCATCTTGTCTCATTCTTTCGAAGTTTAGTTTTCTGAAGGTTTCACTTCTAACGCGTGTGAACTGCACATATGTTTTTTATTAGATAGGATATATCTATATTTAAATTATGTACCGTACCCTATTAAGTACCAGGTAGTGAACGTGTAAGAATACCCACTACTCCATATCGTCCATGGGTGCCGTTGCAGGCGACAA